GCCAATCCCTCACGACCGTAGCAGTCATCCATCTATCACTCCACCCTGTAAGAGGTGACGTAAAAGCATCAGCTGGTGAGGCTACTGCCATCCAGCAGTATTGGGAGGAAGCCGATCTAGAAATTTGCATCCTATAAAACACCCATCTGACAAGAAAAACCTCATGTGGTCCTCTAGGGCAGCGCAAGTTCCCTACAGCCTATGGCCTGCCGCTAACGTGTCGGGCAGGTGAGTGACGGTGTGCATGTCGTAGTGAGGCTCCTCCTGTCTATCGGGATGAGGGGGAATCCTAAACCCTGTACCGTTGAAGCCATTACTGATGACTACACCGCTGTTGTCAGTGTAAGAGGGTGTCGTCATTTCACAATCAGGCGTGGGGGTAGGCATAGTAGATGTCGCTAAAGATGGTGATGATGGGAAAGACATTTAAACCAACACAGGCTACTGTTTATACCACTCCAACTGCAACACGTACAGAAGTACTATGAGAAAAAAGTAGAGGGTGAATGACAGTACTTAAGAATGCGATAAATGAGCTCACTCTGGAGGTACCGAGTCGTCACTATTGAGTTTCACACCGCTGACTTTCCCAAGGACATCAACGACTGCCCACCACTCCCTACCCATACACCGACGAAACATAGCTGCCTCATCGTTGTCCATATGCACCTCCAACTTGAGAGTTCTATTCTGGTACACTACTACCCTGTCAAAGACGAAGAGTAAACCAATAGAGTCTCCAGCAGACACCTATGGAGGGGAAATTCCCATCACGAAGATTGTCTACTGCTAATACCTCTCGTGCTGGTCGCCACTGCCTTGAGCTCACCTTATGAGTCCGACCATTCACCCACAGCTGTAGAGGATCATAGCCGATCAGGAGGGAGCAGGGCCCCTCTACCTTTGGGGCTAGAGTGGCAATGGCATCCTCCTGAACTCGAGAGGAGGGTAGGTTAGTAACTAACAGGAAAGGATGTGGACCGACTCAGACACAATAGTCGTTAGTACCATTTGAAGGGTCGATAGTGGTGAGGCCCAGGGCAAAGGTCTTCATAGCTGTTGCCGTCTTAATGATAGTAATAGAGTAGTAGAGCCCTCCACTGGGTAAACTCGCAGTAGGTGGTAACCTGACAGGGAACGGTAAGCTACTACTACTACTACTACTACTACTATTACTTTTGTATAGGATCCTTACTGAACACCACCGCGTTGTTGATGCCGCTCTTCCTCATCGCAACTGTATCCTCCTCCTCTAGCTTCACTCGACTACCCTTAACCCTCGACTCAAACACCATCGGACGATATAAACGCAAGTAACTGAGCATCCGAGCATCTAAACAGTCCACTGAACTCAGTTTCCTCACTCGATCGCCTCCACTACATTGCCCGCCTTGCCGAGGACTTTAACACTAAGACACTCTCGTGACCGTCCCCTCTCTATAGGTGTTATGGCCAGGCCTATCTCAGTACAGGGAGGATCCCCCTTAGGCACGGCTCGACCAGTAACCGTAACAATCTCGCTATCCACCCTCTTCTCCCCTAGCCGCACTTCAACACCCACGAGGGAATTGCCGACCAAATTCAACACAGTAACTTGTACTTTATTCTTCCTCCCATACGCCAAAGACCTCGGTGTAGCATCTACTATCTCCATCTTGTCATAGTACTCAAATGCCGCTCTCAGTAGTAAGCTCTCACTGGCGTCCTCCATCACAACCAACACATCAGCAGGGCCCGGCAGGCCCCTCGTCATCGGCGCTAAGAACTGTCTTCGAGTCTTTTCAAGGGCCGCCACCTCTGCACAAGGCCTCCCACCAATTTTCAAATATGCTATCCCTTCCAACTGAATGCCACCCTCAGCCGAGACCTCAACCGTAAATCTACTGCCGCCTTGTCGTGGAGCTCCGGCTGGTTCGATAACAAGAGGAGCCATCTCACTAGAATAGGACACTACTGACCCGACCTCGTCCATCGAGGAAGCACATATGCTTACGTCGGAAGTTCGGCTAACGGCCCTCTCGGGTTTAGGGGCCACCCAGGACCCCCTTCCCTCAGTGACCTCATCCCGGCCCTCATCCGATTCAGAAAGGTTGAACGAAACGCTCCCCTTGGGACCCGACAACATGCTCTCCTCCGTTACGTCCTTATCGCCAGCAACAACTTCAGATGGACTACTAGGCTCCTCCTCACCAAGGTTCTCGTCCTTCGTCATCGACCCTACTCCCGATTCCGATACCACACCATCCTCAACCGTCTTGAATTCGGAGGGTGGTGCCGGCAGAAGATCCATCAAGTCCTTGTGACCCTCAGCCACAGACTCGCTCGCCTTATCCGAGTTCGATCGGGCAACAGCTTTCTCTTGCTCCCAAGCATGGCTCAGCTTATCCAACCGCAATAGCAACTGGACCCTCTCAGCATCTTCAACTAAGCCCCTCAAAACACCATCCACACATGCCTTGTCCGAATCCTCAGTCAACGACGGTCGTATCACAATCAACTTTTCCATAGCTACACGAGAGGACTTTCCATACCGTAACTCCCCGAATGACTATTACCTTCCATCATAGCCTTCTTTGCCTCAGGAAGTCTATTGAGTGCCTCTAGCTGTTCCGCCTCGCCCTTGAGGGTCTGTACGCTCACCAACGTAGACACCAAATCAGGATGGTCTTTGCCCGGCAACGACTCCCTCCCATTCCACCCCATAGACATATACAAAATTACTACAACCACAGAGAGTCACTAAAAACCCAAACACAACCCCTCAACTAGTCACAAGAAAACAGCAGATCGTCACACTGAGCCTCCAACACCCGCCGCTGATGATGATGATGATGATGACGACATTTCCTTCCACGCCTGAGACAGAGCCTTCAACACATCACACATCCTCCCTACTACTACTACTACTACTACTACTACTACTACTACTACTACTACTACTACTGCTACTACTACTACTACTACTACTGCTACTACTACTACTTTTACTACCTGATATCGTCCAGTGTAGTACCCAGCGTAGTACCAGCTCATACAGAGATTACTCAACTCAGGATCTTCTGGCAGGGGCATCATCATCCCGCTTGGAGGCGCCGTAGTAGATGCATCAGGCGGATTACAGTCACCACTCTGCTCAGCCTCGTCAGCTCCCCCAGAGCTACCTCTCGAGGGCTCCTCATGGACAGGCCCCTTGCCCTCCACACTACCCGAGGAGGATGAAGACACCCCCTCGATGAGTTTATCAATCTCAGCAACAGCTTCCTCCTCCTCCTCACTCGCTCGTCGCCTCATCGCCGCTGCTAGACCGTCAAAGGCGTCCAATAACAAGTCGTTAGGCATGCTGGACAATCCTACCAGGCACCTACGGACTGTACCCCCAACACAACAACACTGTGAGTAGAACAAGACTAAGCGTTAATACCAACGATGCTAATTGCATGGTAATATTCAAACACCTCGTCCCGACCATTATTCCCAACCGTACCACCACGCTATGCTACACCCTACTACCGACCCCATCGCTCCACCCTAATGCCACAACTCGGGGACCTCATCAATCTCTGATATCGTCTACTGAGACCGACCCAAGGATCTTCACATGTCTCACGAAGCTCCAACGAGTTACTCCAATTCGCGAGCCTTAGGGTAGTGTCGGACCTTCCCATACCACTCCCTGGGGAATTCACAACGACTACCTGGTTACCACGCGTTGGATAAACTACATCCAGAAAACAGCACAAGCTACCGCCCCTAAAACGACGCCCTTGAACTCAACAGGACCAGTCGTAGTAGTAGCGGCAGAAACATCACAGCTAAGAGCCTTTCTTGAGGGGTTGGGTCAGTAAGTGGCCCATCTTGACCTTATCCCCAACACTCACCGCCCATTCCATCGACTGCGGTGCCTCAAACATCATCACTATCGTGCTTCCGAGCCTACCACACCTCCGCTACATCACACCCACAAGTAGCTATACTCAGTACATAAACGTCCCTATCGGATCGCCGTGCTCAAAGGCGTTGTCGAAGAGCCTAGTCCTTATCTCTCCTCCTGTATACACCGACACTGACCTCAACTGGTTCGTTCGGAGCTTGTTTTCAAAAGCCAACTTGATGCCACCAACGTTGTACCTAGCAGTAGAGGTAGCCCACCATTCAATGTCTTTGAACAGCGCGCTCAGGCACGCTACATCAGGAAATTTCGCGAAATTGGTTTTCACACACTTGTGGTATATAAACTCCTAAGCTCAGCTGAAGAGAACAAACACATATATTCCTTCAACACTGTCACCATCTACTCGGTATTACGCTGCAACAGGAACGTAGTGGCACTGACCAAATGCCCAAGTCCCCGATAAGACCACTCGTTCATTAGCTGTGAATAAATCGTCAACTGCTGAGGCGAAGGGCTTCATCACAGGTAAGACATCACCAGGGAAGTGCCTTGAAGAGAACCCTCAACGCCCTACTCTCTCATGCTGTGCTACCGCGCCTGCTGCAATTGGAATTTTGTTGGCGAATGGAAGCGATGGTAGTCACCAGGCGACAGGTAGATAACAGCATACCTGATCACCATGGTCGAACAGGGAGGAGGCAGCCTAACACTCACATCAGCTTGGAATCTGGGTGAAGCCTTCTCATAGGGTCCACACCCAGGAAGCCAGAGAGCATGTACGTACCGCCCTTGACACCAGATATGGTAGGGTCAAGCTGCGACACCCTAGTCTGTGCCCCTATACAGTTCTCATAAGGCTAAACCACTCCAGGCGTTTATTACGGTCAATCACTCCGAGGTTGACAACCTCACCATCACAAGGACAGACCATAGTCGTCGGGGCAAGGTCCTCGATGGGACGAGCCTGAGGTCAGCATGAGAAAACCGCAAGGCGAGACACGAATGCTACTACCCCGTCCTTGAGGGCTCTGGTGAAGAATTCCTGGAAGGAGTGGTATGCGTCCAACGGATACCGTATTTCCGTCAAATCAGCTCCAGTGAACTTCGCATAGAGTTTGAACAGCGGCTCCCTCATCCGCACAGGCACAGTTCGAGACATCATACTACCAGTGATCCTACTACGGGTGCCTATTAGAAAAACCCCGGTCCTTCAAGCCCCCGCCCCCAGGCTTACGTCCGCAGAGAAGCCTCGAGTAAAATAGAGTGTTTGGCGATGTGATTCCACTAGGGTTGCCGACGACATCAATTACCTGTACCCAACCGTAGTGACTATGCTTGATGGACGCCGCTTACCTCGTTGTATTTGTATTGGAAACCCAACATAACGATAGCCCCTGCTGCAGCAACGTACAGCTTCCGTCGTCTAGATGCTAATTTACGTTGTTCTTCCACTGAAAACCTATCAGCACTCCTACACCACCAGAATAGGCCCATCCACTCCTACCTGGCGCCCAGCTTCAAGGCCGCCTTAGTCTTCTCGGAAGGGCCGAAGGTTGGAATAGAAAACATGTTACAACTACTATGAAGATTCCATAATCGCATGAAGAGTTACGGAAGCTCAGCCGAACTGCTCTATACAGGCTTATTCGCCTGGTTCGACAGGCTCCCACTTTGTTGGGTGGGCTGCCAACCTGTTACCAGAGAGCTGCTGCCTGGGCTTCGTCGTTATTGTCTCCTGTGACACGCCCGTGTCACCAGTACGACGGGGAGCATCACATAGATGCAATCGGATCATCGAGTTATGATACTGTCAGCCATCGATGGTGACTATCGTCCATGGAGTATATGATAAGCATCTTCTTGCGTGGAGGAAAAATTGTCGCGTGCTGGGATCGAACCTGCGCCTTTCCATAATTCTGGATCTCATTCCATTTCATGGAAAGAAAATCACTTCGCTCCGCTCATTGAGTTTGCGTACGAAAGTAGCTCAGTTTTCATAAGAAGCTCCAAGGCTACGAATTGCCTCTAAGATGAATCAATGTTTCGCTGACGATCCCTCGGCGGCGCAGTTGAGCCAGTGACAGATTCCAGCTTTGAACCACATTAGCGAACATCTGGGTCCTCTTCCATGGAAGCAACATGCTCTTCTCGAGAGGCCTAAGGGGCCTTGACTATTCCCCAATACCATAAGTAAACCATCTTCATTCAACCATTCTTCAGCGATAGGCCCTACCGACCCTTACACGGCTGTTACTGTTGGCATGGAGTAGTTCTGTGATCGGATTAGGCAACTTGGCCTTCATACCGTGTTTACATTGCGCGGCTCTGGCCTAGCCAGCGCTCTACTTTCCATCACACTTCTCGGTCCCCAACATAGTTGTTTGCATGAGTCTGTCAACCTAATGGTTGTTTTTCGTCGTGAAAATGTAGCAGGAAAGAACAAGGTCGCGACTGCCGCAACGGCAAAGACCCCAAAAAAGAACCTATCGAGCCAGAGAACAGCCAAGGGACAAGGCGCGTCTCTGAAGGCGAGAATTCGTAGAGATAGAGAGCATGAGGGGATACCCGTGGTAACTCTGACTGACTTCAACAGCCTCATGGCAACAGGAACGCTCCACAGCAAGTCGCGGCCAGGGTTTGCCGCTGTGAAGTTGGACATCCAATCGAGTGGGAAACACACAGCAACAGGGAAACGTAGTCCACCTATATCCAAGGCAAGAGGGAAGGGGAGTCCTATTGAGAAGGAGGGGCTGAGAGCAAAGGGATGTTCGAGGGGGGCGATGGGGCCCGGGAAGGAACGAATGACGCCCACGGGGAAGTCCCGAGTGGGGAAAGGGGGCCGGGAAGGGTCGGGGAAAGACAAAGGGAAGGCAAAAGGAAGCAAGGGCAAGGCCTCGAGGTTCCGACCAGTAGAGGCATCGAAAGACTCCCTCCCAATGACGAGAGTAGACACAAGCGACCCATGCCGCACGCCTGAACCCACTGGGGTGTATATGGTGGACACCCACAGAAGGAGTGGATCAACTGGCATCGATAGCAGAACCTTCTATCTGGGTGGCACGTGTGAGACACGGGAGGAGCTCGAACAGCGAGAGAAGCGGAAGCAGCAGCAGTAGGAGGCTCAGGCCTCGGTTGGAACTATAAACACGGTGATAGGTATCGTGATGAGCTCCAGGCACAACTAGCTGAGAGGCAAGCAGCGAAGAAGGGAACGAGCGGTAGTCAGGCGAACACCATGGACGGAAGCGATGGGACAGTGTCGTCGGACTCGCCCTGTAGCATCATGAGTTTTGTGATGATGCATTCAAACGATGAACAAAAGAAGGAGAAACAGGTGAAGATGATCTCGACATAGGAAGCTCCCCACTCGTCTGCGTATAGGCCAAGGTGAAGGCTCTACTTGACCAGCAGGTGGCTGAGCAGATGAAATTGAGAGCTAAAGTGGAGAGGGTGGGAGGGAAGGGGAGCCTTGTCGCAGTGTTGGAGGAATATATGTTCGCTTTCCTCGGCTGAGCTCAAGAGTTTGCTCACTAATCATGGAAGTTTACATAATTACGAATTCGGGTAGAAGTGTACAGAACCAATGCGAATTTCCCGAAAAAAAATCCTCAGAGTTTTCATATTCTCAGCAACACATGTAGTTGACCATGTGCATGTTTTCCCACACTGTTTCGTGGAGTGCCCAGTTAGCGTAATTATCGGTCAGGAAAGGCTGGCTCGTGAGGCAGCTGAAGTAGACACAATGAGAAGAGAAATTGTACCTATAGCATCTCGAGAGTATCAACAAGGCCACGAGCAGGGCAGTCCTCCTCAGCGAGATGGGGCGACACGGATGAATTCGGCTGGAGGGATCGATGATAGGGAGAAGATGATCTCATACCCTCAGGCCGTTATCGACCCTCACGAGGGTAAACCGGTGGCTCAGTCGGTCCCACAGTGCTTAGCACTCGAGAGTGTTGCCGGGGAGCTCGACACTCTGCGGTCTCGGCTGGGGGATGGTATGCTGGAGGGAAGTCTTAGTGGCACCACACGGTTGGTGAGGTCTCCGCCGTCGGGCAGCACGCCCAAGCGGAAGTATGTCGTACCAAGAGACGGGCGGGATGAATCCGAGGACAGATTTGAAGTCGATAGAACCTCTAAACTCATCGACTCGCTGAGCTCCAATGAGATTGAGAACACCACTGAGGTGATCCTGGCCTTTCTGAGGAGTAACTCGGGTCGGGCCGAAGGGAGGTGGGGAGGACCACAGATCCGTGCTAGTGGGCATTCCTTGGGATTGCCTCGGGGTGGCGACTTGCTGAATGTACAGAAAGGACAACGGTCGTTGGTCACGGAGCGAAGTATGGTAAATATCAGCAAATTCGTGAGGCCTGATGATCTGATCGTAGGGGACAGGCAGGGAGACCCTTCTCGAGAGAGTGAGGAAGGGAGTCGGCCTTGCGTTGCTACGGTCTCGCTAGGTGGGAGCAGCTCAAACGGGGATGAGGTGCTGAAGCCCGAGACCCCGTCTGACACTGAGGGGCCTGGAGAGGAGACGGCAGGCATTGTCAGTGACGGATATGGTCAGTCGGGAGAGGCATCTTCAACTGGTGATGAGTTCGATACCACTCCTCGAGGAGATCATACAAGTGTATGTGCGACTGTTACAGCAAAAATGGTGTCAGCCTTGCCCGCATGTCAGTCCTGTCATCACTCGTCGTCCCTATCGATCCCTCCCCTGAGCACCAGCCTCGACGGCAGACTACACCTTGGCCCCTGGTCGAGCTCGCATTATGCTGTCTTCATCACGACCGTTCTCGATACGGAGGGTCTCGACTGCAGTGAGGCGATAGCCGAAGTATATTCATGTGCCTTTTGGACAGGCCCTAGAGCCTCTCACTCAGGTCCTCTACCATCTTCAAGCAGAGGCTGCTCTCGAGGAGCGAGTGAGGCGTTGGCACTCTCATTCTTATTAGATTGTTTTTTCCTCAGATGACCTCGTCGAACGATGACGACCGACTCGAGAGCACCGGCAGCTCGAGTGACTCCAGTTTCTTGCAAAGATTGTCTGACGACGGCTTCCTCCTGTCCCTAGCCGAAGAAGATGACACTCCAGAATTCACCCCTAACGAGTCGGGCTCAGTCGGAGGCAGCCCTCTGGTCACAGACAGATATGTTGCCTCATCCTTCATCGAGGATACCGCGGGTACGGGCGGTTGGTCCGAGTCTAGTGGCAATGCCTTTGACTGACCTACTAGTGTAACATGTTGCGATTCTTGTTCTAATGGAGTGTTGCTGTTTACAGTAGTGGTGAAGTACTCATAACACAACACGGCTAGTGTGAGCCACTCGGTATTCAAAATTAACAGTAGTATGTGATCGAGTGAGATCAGCCGCACTTTTCGGCCGCTTTTATCTGCTTGAAAATTGTATCTATTCGAGCACTGAGTCTCTCGGCCTCTCGGACCAACTCTTTGCGTGCTGCCTTCGCGGGCTCCTTCCCTGACATTCGCGAGTAAGTCGAATGAAGCTGGTCCGAGATGAGACATACCAGAATGGAGATCGACGGTTTCGACAGAGTCGATTCCGTTGAATTGCAGTTTGTCGAGTCTAAGTCGATAACAGTTTTTCCAACTGTTTCTGATCACGGATCGTACCGGGCTTCTATCTGGGCGAGGACGTCCTTGCCTTTCCCAAGGGACATCTTCCCAGAGATCAAATCCTGTTCAATTTTGGTCACCTAGGAACAGTTGTTGTGATGAGCAAGGTAATCATCTTCCTCTCGCCTCATTTTCCACATCGCGAAGGGCGGCCTCAAGCTTATCGAGCTGGCCCAAAGTTTTGGCACTCAAAATTGAGAACGACTTCATGAACTTCTCTGCAGGATCATCCTTGGGGAGCTCCTGAATACGACAGTGATACGCATTCTCATCGCCACTCGAGCCCACCATATCGACATGCTTCCCCTCATGTGTTCGCTCTAGTTCGGTAGGATTACCCCTGGGACCCGACGAGTCAATAGGCTCAGGTTCTACTCCTGCAGCAGCATGTGCTCGATGATGATGATGTTTTCTAGGGTGAACCGCAGGAGCTCGTTGCGACTCGTGAGCATAGGAATGATGCTGGTTTCGGTCTTCTGTGGACATTGCTTTCGACTTCGCAATACTCAAACCGACCACAACAGAGAACTACCAAGACTAGAGTAGAGAAGCATGCTCATTAGATTTTCTTACTATTATCAGTACAGAGAGTCCAACGCCACCAACACTTGTTAACTCAACAAAGGAGAGGATTAAAGATCATTACCCTCAAATGAGAAAGAAATCTCAGATTCTCAACTTACACTTCTAATCATATGGTAACAATGATATTCATAACAGGTGACCACAGCCACCATCAACTCCTTCTCATACCACTCCAATCGTACTTCACAATAGGAGCTTCAACGAATCTCAAGGCGCTTTGTAGTGCCAACAACATCACCCAGAACCCCCGCCTTCTTGTAGTTCTCGATTTGCTTAGTAGTAGGATGTCTAAGTTGAGGATGGGCTTGCTCCCTCGGAGGACTAGGAGGAGCCCTTCTTGGGGACTTGTCTAGCTTCTGCTGAATAAGGCGGTTATAGAAAGTATTGCGCTTATAGTAAGTATTATCCATTAGCCGTGAATAACAACTGCTAAAATGCTTTCAACTTCACGACAATTTGCACGCATGCTGTGTATGCGTGCAAATTGCATGCTACACGCATAACCATTTGCAGTGTCACGCTTGCGCACATCATGCACATTCATAGCTTAAAACACGAAACTAGCACCAAATGAAACTCCTCAAATTCACTACTCATACATAGCCCTACAGCTAGCGTCTCTACTTACCTACTTTATAGATACCAAAACACCGACACATGATTTCAGTACACAACATCACTTGAGAAATATTGAAACCATCATCCAATGGTAGTACAAGGCCACCACCATCTCCACGATAATCATTCTTATTAGTATTTTGTTGCTGATACCATCTCTACGCTTCATCGCCCATACCAGACATCCCCTTCTCAGCAGCATACCTAAGCCCACGAAATTAACCGCAGACTCAATGACCGCTTACTTGTAATGGAGTTCCATCACATCCTGTCCGTCCTCCATAATAGTCCACCTGAAGACCAACAAATTGTCAACAACACTCTCAGCATTTCCTTCCACCCTACCCATCCTTGTGAACGTGATACACTCGAACATAGCCACCAGAGGCACCATCCTTGTTGGTGGCATGATAGATAGCACGCTTACCAAGAGCCACTGCCTCATCAAGAGTGAGGTCATGCTTGTAACCAGCATCAACAATCTGCAAACAACAGTGCTTCGGGTAAACTACCTAGAGAAGACCTCCTTACCCCATACGCGTAAGTCGAGCCGGAGCCAACAGAGAACATGTTGTTCTTCAGCCGAGTCCCCTGGTCATCTACCATGTACCTAGCATGGATCGTCTGTTAAGCTGTTGATGATGCAACCAACAGACTCACAGTGCGGGACCAGTAACAGCATCATAACCAGCGATCATCGTGCCACACGAGAGACCATACCTTGAGGAGAGCAGTGACCGAGGAAGTAGGAAAAGAGTGGTATTACCCCTTGTAGGAGTACATGATGTTAGCGAGCATCTTAGAAGCAGCAGCAGTAGTGATGCGCTGATTGTTCCTCAGCTCGTACAGCCTAAGAAACACTAGTAATAGATGGAAAACACTACTATCGTACGGAAGCAGTAGACTCAAAAGGTGTTGCGATATATGTTCACTCTCCTCAGCTGAGCTCAGGAGTTTCCTCACTCACTGTAAGAGTTCACATACGAATTCGGGTAGAAACGTACAGAAACCAATGAGAATTTTCCTCTCAGAAACTTCATATTGTCATCAACACATGCAGTTGACCATGTACATATCATAGGCAACAAACAGTTCCCCCCAGGTCCTACTTGCACAGTTTGCCAAGATGCCTCTCCCAGAACTGACAGTCCGCAGCGCCACCAGCCATCGTGCCTTAAGAGACAGGTAGAGGGAAGGACCCAAGAAGAGGACACTACCAATGAGCCTATCTGTGATATGAAGAACCTTGCGAACCGTCTGACTCGACACGTAGCTTCCCATAGAAGCTCGGGAGTCCACAGCAATGAGCACTCCACCGTCAAAGACGAACCCAAGTGTGGTCGTACCTGTGCAGTGTACTTCCCTCGTTATGAGGAGGGCATCTACTACTACCCTTATTGAAGTTCATAAGGCGACCCGAGCGAGCCTTCATGTCCATGCAGAAGTTCTGAGGCTGCGCTACAGGGGCAAGGGCGAACCTGTGAGGATATAGAGCTACCCGAGTGCGGAGGTCAGGGAGGGAGCACCTGTCCATTTCGGCCAGACCAGAGACCTGCTCGTCCTCCTCCTCCTCGAAATGCCTTCGCCCGGGGAGAGTGAATGTGGTAGGAGCAATAACAGACATCCTTAGCAAAAAACAACTGCTACTCGGAGGATGAGCCCTACAACAGAGTCTATGAAGAGTTCAGGTCCGATAAAGCTATTTCTTATAGTGATGGGAACACTCCCGTATTAAAAGGCGTGATAGTACCTATTGCTTCCCCTAAGAGAGCTAACCCATGTGGCGTCACTAATCCTGCTTCGACAACAAGCGTGGACGCCCGGAACCACAGACAAGATGTTGAAAATTCTTACCGGTAGGTTGGACTCTTATTTCACAAGGACTCCAGGTCGTCGTCACACGCCATGAAACTACGCGCGCGCCCAGGATGTGAAACAATAAATTAATCACTTTGGCTGAAACACTTTCTACGACCTACGACCACGTTCTACGACCTGCGAGCCTTCACCATGTGCTGGCTGAACGGACGCTATGGCATTGAAGACCACACTAAGTCGCTCTGGTGAGGCCTCATCATCTCCCATTCTGGTCACTATCCACTGGGAGACTGTCAAACTCCTTATGGGAGTTCCCTGCTTTGATATGATGCCACAAGCCTGAATACATAACAGCCATATCGTGATGAACCTTCCAAAGAAAGCTCTCCGGATCATAACCGCACATAATAGAACTTATACCCGTGAATACATCCTTTGAAGACTAGGAAAAGGTATGCTCACTGGAGTGTAGATTGAAACCAACAACCTTCCGATGAACCAAATACATACTCGTTTAGTCTCAACCGAACTCAACCACACGAACACAACACTGAAGAACGCATTGCAACACAAAGGGCCGACTAGCCTCCCTACCAGGAAGACTTAGTATTCGTACAGTAGTGAACCTATCGGAGTCTTCTGTAGAGCTTTCCTGAGTTTCAACACCCCTCCTAGCGATCCAGTTTTTAATGTGAAATCCAATCTTGCTAGCGCTCTTGAATGAATTCCGAAATCTAATCTGTTCACGGGAACTCCCTCGAGGGTTAGGATGAGGCCGAAGTTCTCCTTGGCTGGTATGGCATCAGACAGGGCTACGATGAGTTTTTAGTGGTTAATATAACTAATGTCGGGGAAGCTCCGTAGCTGTAACGATGAGAAGTTTGTGAAGTTGTGTAACGTGTTGGAGGAAGTTCTAATCAGGAAGACTCAGAAGGCAAAGTTGGGTGTATTGGAAAAGTGAGCGCAGTGGGTGTCGAAATCTAACCAAGATTAATACCGTAAATCTTTGAACAGGCCAGTATTGATATATTATGGGCCTATTGAATTGAATATTTATCGTGAGTAGCTGATGTGGTTTATGCCTAAGGTACATTACGGGAGCCTTTGAGCCTAATGCTGATCTATACCCTCTACTACGACTCATCATCCCACAATGTGACACAGATCGACAGAGTTATGGTATCAAAGAGAAAGCAATGGCGAAAATGTAATTGCCCACACCGTCGACAATGGGGTAGTACCATCCTCAGGGTCTCTGAGGTTCACACCTTGCCAACGACTGAGGTGGATAGACTAGTCCATTACAAAGACGTGACTAAGCAGCTTATGAAGAGATGCACTGCAGGGGACTTCCCCAGTGTGCTTTACTCGGTGTTGGAGGACAGAGTATTAGCAGCGTCGAGTTCAAACCTGATTACTGTTGGACAAATTAATGACATACTGGATAGACTTCATAGTGCACAGAACTACCAGGCACAGAAAAAGATATTTATTGAAGTCGCTACGAGGTGTGGAGCTTTGGAGCATAAGTGGATCGCTAGAATGATCATAAAGGGTTCTATGAAGTTGGGGGTAAGCGTGAGATGAAGTGGCGAGGGAGTGGTATGGCTTTATGGTAGGTTGGAGAAAAGGCCATCCTGGGTCGGCTCCATCCGAGGGCTATTGAATGGTAGTCGTGTAAGTAGATGGGGTTAGTTGTAGTAGTTGTGGTAGGTATGATAATAGCATGTCTCTGAAATACGTTATGGAGAATATCAATAAAGATAATGGTCGTGATGATGGTGACGATAGTGGCCGACCGTAATAGGGCAGACACTACCATCGTGAATTTCGAGCATACTTCACCGAGTTACGGTATGTTAGATGCTATACGTCCTCCCCTGTGCTGAACAGCATCATGTTCCTTCGGCTGAAACCTCAGAGGGCTGTGGTATGGTCCAAAAAAGTGATGGAAAACTATTGGAAAAATAGCAAGAGGAAAACTGCCGACTACAGCGGGAGGCATAAAGACACTACACTCTATAGTGAGGTTAAGTTCGATGGTGAAAGGATGATCGCTCACATCGACAAGGCTCCTCCTGGCCCCGACAACGCCCCTCGGGTTACTTTGTAATACAACTTCAACATCAAATAAATCCAATGTAAAATTTACGAGAAAAAAATGAAAATTTTACTTAGTCGTGGTTACGTAGTATTTGGTTTTTCTCGTTAAAGCCTCTCAAAAATGTTTGCAATTTTCTTCTCCCGATAAGGTACAGTCGTAATGGTTTAATAATGAGGAAGTACGAGCGGGATCTGGGCCCACTGTTACTATCAGCCTTCAAAGGAAACCAGTGTATACTAGATGGGGAGGTGCTCGCTTACGACGAAGACACGGGTACATTCCTAAAACATACCACCAACCGATCAACTGCAGCAGAAACGGCCGGTCACAGACATCTTTGTTTTATTATTTTTGATATTTTGCTTTATGGTGATGCTAAAAATGCCGCGCAAAATTTCACTACTACCCCATTAAAAGTGAGAAGGGAAGTTCTGATGAAAGTAAGGAAGTTCGGGAGGGGTGCGTTGGAGGAGCGCTGACGTTGTAGGTGGTAAAGAGTATTAATACATATATTGAAGTTGTTAATTTCCGCGTCATACCGTCTACCTCTGAAGCTGTGATGGATGAGATCAACATGGCTGTTGCGAACGGCGAAGAAGGGCGGGTTTTCAAGGACCCTGATTCGGTGTAGTGGTCACTTATTGGGCATGTTTTGAATCTTTATAAGGCACCCTCTGGATAGATATTCAATTGGTAAGAACGGTTACGGGTGGTTCAAGCTGAAACCAGAGTACTCATATCATCTGTCCATGGAGCTTGACTTGGTTGTTGTTGGAGCCTATTTCGCTTCTGGTACAGCCCGGTAAGGCTTATAGGAATTCTCTCTGTGATGGTATGTGTTTTCTCTCCAGACGCGACCCCAACGCTGAGGTAACGGACCTGCTAGCGACAGTATCGTCCTTCTTATTGGCAGTATCGAACGAAGCAGGAATGTTGGTGCCTCTGGGAAAAGTGGCGGTGGCTCAACTGAGCGCTTTGAAGGGCCTGAGAGATCACCTGAGAGGAACTATGGTTGCTTGGTAGAGGTCTTTGGCCGTATCCCATGAAGTGGCTCATAGGTCTCCACTCGTCGGAAAAGCGGCTGCCCAGTGGCTGGTTGATGCAGATAAGCTCCCGAGGTAGTGTTGGATGGTAAGAGTCATAGAGAGGGGCTGATGATTTTCAGTGGAGTTCGGCCAGATTTGGTATCACGAGATCCCTCTACGTTGGGGGCTGGGCAGCCTGCGGTAATGGTGGTGCGCTGTGGTGAACTGCAGAGTAGTTCCAAGTGGCCAGCGGGGTAGCGGTAGGGGGACGGGGATGAATCGATTGATGACTACGATGTGGTTGAGAAGATACAGACACTATATTTGTATGTATATTGGGCGAGGGTTATTATTTATGTAGGGTCAATATATTTATTGAGAAGACACTATATTTTCGTATGATTTCGTTGATTACGATGGTCCGTTGAGATTCCCGGTATTTGCTTGCTGCGTTTGATACGGAAAAATGTAATGGGAAGGTCGCTGATGAGTTTCTCGATTTGCAATGGTAGAGAAGTTTGAAATTACGCAAATTTCACAGGGTTCGTATGTACGTAGTTGTCCATGTGTTAGATTGACTCTACGTTTTCCGCGATGTGTCACCGCTGTTAGAAAGGATAAAACGGCGGAGGAAGTGGACACGCTGAGTGAAATTCAAGAAGTAGTGATGGAGAGGAGTAGTGGTCGGGGTCAAGACTGATTCAGTTCTATCGCCGACAACAGGCTAAGGCGAGTGAGAGCTCATCACCGTCTGTTGCTGATGGATACAGTAGTGATGATGGTGTTGTTGAGGAGAAGAGGAAAAGGAGGAGGAGGAAAGAAAAATTAGGTACTTGTAACTACTACGACCAAGTTTTGTCGTTCTGTAGTGAGCCTGGTCAGAAGTTGATGCTCATGTTCCTCTTGTGGAGGATGATGACGATGAGGATAAGGCCACTCTTGAGGGTGGTGGGTTGAAGGCAGTCAGCAGCAGCAGCACCTCGACGTCGTCGTTGCTAAGAGGAGTCAATGTGACGGTATTGAACGGCGAGCGGAGAAATACTACTTCTATTACTTCGGCAACACCACAGAGTTGTTATACTCGAGCTGATATCAAGGCTCTGGTCCTCGAAAAGGGTGGCATGGTGAGAGAGTCCCTTGCCCCTAGTAGGGGGAAGGGACGGGGGAAGTCACTATTGTTGTCGTCGTCGGTGGAGGATGATGATGATGAAGGCGCTCTTTGGGTGGTCCTGGCGGCTACGCTGGATTTGAGGGTTAAGAATTTGGTTAAAGTAGAAGACGTTGACGTGCTGCATTACAGGTAATAGGATGGAGAATTGCATATTGAGATTTGTCACGCGCCACGAAATTCTAACTGTGGTGTACCTGGTGTATTGGTGACCGTTGGGTAGTGTGGGGGGAAATATGCACATGGTCATTTACAAGTGTTGGTGATGGCAATATGAAGGTTCGGGAAATTCTACCCCAGACCGTATATGAATTTCCATAAGAAAGCTGAGGAAAGCAAACCTAGCATGTTCCTCCAACACTGCGAGTAGTGTTGTGATTCCGCAGGTGGTTGCTTGCGTCGGTCGAAGTTGGGCGCCTCTTACTACCACCCCCGAAAGAATATTTCCTGGCTATGTCGAGGACCACGGAGGAAACATTCAAGACGGATTTTGATAAGTACAGGGGAGGAGGGATGTTGACGGTAGATAGGGTGGCAATGGACAGGTATGGTGATGCATACTTCACAACGGGTCACTCGAGGGGACGGCAAGAGATGGAGGAGCTCCTGATGAGAGCAGGGAGTGGTGAAAATGTTTTGCACACTTTCTGAATTGTCCCGATTGTGTTATATGATGGGGACCTTTATCGGGGACAGTTTTGTATCAATTTCTGCCATGCCGAGGTCGGCGTCGTCGCCGAGTAGTCCTTCCGGTGGTGGGGAGGGAGGATTCTCGGTGGTGCTGAGATCCTACCTCAATGGGTTGACGACTCTGAAGAGGACGGGGAGTGGTAATAAGTAAGTCTCGGGGCAACCGGTTTTTGTGATAATGTGCTGCAAACGGATACCCGAGAGAATTTCGTATAGATCCAGAATCTGTGATTGTATAAGGTAGAATGTGTATTTTTTTCGGGAGAATTATGGGAAATATTTTTCTGGATTTTCTCGTAGGTTTGAGGAGCTCTTGAGGGCTCTACCGTCGGATGCGCGGAAGGCTATCGAGGAGTTGGTGGAACGACGAGTGGAGGGGATGGAGGGGGAGGGGGGGAGGAAAAGGAAGGCTGAATCCTACTACCAGGTCGGTGTGGAGACAGTAGCATATATGCGGTGGAGTTTCACCCTAGTGATGTGAAAAACTACTGCATATCACCGCGAATGTCGCGTTTTTCACGGAGTTTTACGACGCCACTTCACGTAGAACGGGTCTCGAAACTCCAACACATTATCATTCACACATATTCAAAATCAATACCTTGTATTGGTTTCAGGGGGAAGGTGGTGATGGCTCAGAGGCGCCTAAGCGAAAGCGAGGAAGGCCTAGGAAGGTCTCGACTCAACAAGACAACAAGGCTGCTGTTGCTACTTCCACGTCATCACCATCGGAGCCTTCAACTACTACTACGACCATGGAGATGAGCAGTAGTGGAGTGGATAAGGCAGCAGCTGAGAAGAAGTATAGTGACGTTCACTCGCTGTTGAGGGAGGCCCTGAGGGGTTCTGATCGGGGAGGAGAGGTGGCTGTAGTTGATGATATATTCAATACAGTTCAGCACAGCCCCTTTGATTTTTATAAATATTGCGAGGTGATTTGCCATACCACTCCTCGGTCACTTCTGAGTAACATGTCCCTCCCAGGTCTGTCGACGACTCTTCGACAGTTCACCACCTCCCCAAGACGTAGCAGGGTTAGTTCGTGAAGTAGTGTCTCAGTGCTCTGACAAGTGGAGACAGTTGAGTGCTGATGAGCAGAGGAAGTAGTCGATGGTGTTGTCATAGTATATCTGTAGATGAGTGTAGATACGAGGAAGGTGCAGCGATGTCGAGGAAGGGTTGGGAGATGATCAGAGGACGATGGCTACTTTCGAAACTACTATTACAATTAGATGTATAACAATATTCTACTACCATTTATAATATTATCTTCTGGAGTGATAAAGTTTATCATGAATATAGGGTTTTGTTAAGAGTTTCGGGGGCTCTTGCAGAGAGAGAGGAGAAGGACAGAAATCTATCGCGTTACAGTGGGTGAGGTCACCATGGCCGAGCACGTGTGTTAAGAGGTGTAGATGATGAGCATCCATGCCTCTGTGCCCATTGAAACCAGTACACCACGTCTGTGTTTTGAGTCATGAAAACGCCTATACGATGGTGTACACATACCAAGGCGTTTGCACTTTGTCGTGTCCACCTGCTGAATAGCGGTGATAATAATGAGAATCTATACTTCTACTTCCTACCGTGCAGCACCTTCATTAGTCTGCAAGTCTAGAGTCGTTTTTTGAGGTGAGTTCATGTCCCGTTTTACTGTATCAACGCTACACTAACGATATTGGTAATAGGATTATCACATCATCATTAATCATGAAGGTCGTTTTCGTATTGATATTAGTATTGATATTAAAGGAAAGTTAAACACAGTGGTACTGCTACCACTCCAATGACAATAGTGAGCCCAAAACCTAGACGAGCGAAATCGGAAAAGTCGTAGCCAGCAGCTGCGTAGACCATCAAATTAGTTTGATAAGAAATTGGTGTTAAAAATTGGCAACCAGCGCCGACCATGAGTGGCCCTAAGCACTGATGGACCGGGAGAGCCATCTCATTAGCCACTGACACACAGACGGGGAATAGGAGGATGACCACGGCTGTTGCATGGAAGACTACTCCTAGCAGGCAGGTGGCGATGAAAATGGCCGATAGCATGCCGATGCTTCCCAGGGGGTCCATTAAGGTAACCAACCCCTGAGCTAGCACAGTAGCGACGTTAGTGATGGAGATGGCCTTGCCGAGCCCGAAGGCTCCAACGATGGTGAGGACAGTACGAAGGTTAACCGCAGCTAATGCGGTAGTGAGGGGAATACAACCAGTGAGGATGAGAGCGAAAACTGCCGACATCGATGCTTGCAGTAAAGGCAGACTGTTGGTCGCCACGAAGAGAATCATCGTGAGGACGATACCACCACTGAGCCACATACGATTTCGGCGTTGCTTTCGCACGATCGGGTCGACGACGATGTTGGTATCATCAGCAACAAGGCGGCGAACCACAGCGAAGTGGCCACTGCTACCATGCTGCTCCTCGAACCCGTCATTAGCCTCTATAATAAGACCATCACCAACTTTCAAATGCCACTTTTTTAGCTTCATCTCGCCTTCTAAGAGACGTGTCACCGACTCCATCTCGTTCGTCGGGACTGCTCCCACACCCCCTGCTGACACCAACCCGGCCAGAGGCGTAACCAAGCCGTTCGAGGACAGCCCGAGTTGACCACCAAAACTCACAGTTTTCTTTCTATGTAGGGCAAATTGATTTAAAGTCATCCTTTTCTTATTGGAAAACGGTGGAGTCGCTGAATCCCCTTTCGTAGGCACCAGCCCTCCGGGTGGTAGAGTGGCTTCCGTGTGAGCATGGGCGTCCTGAGGTTCCTCTATTGCCACCATCTTCGTCCCCAATCGCTGTAATAGCGTCAACCTCCGATTCAATTTCATGTCCATTTTCTGCTGCTCGCCAACGCTGATGATATCATCGGACGAGACGCTTTTGAAATCTTTTTGCTGATTTCCCTCAAATTTTTGCTCCATAAAATTCAGCAAACTCCTCCTTCGACCGCTTCTGCTTTTCTGCTGTAGTATTTGCAAACTCTGCGGCCTAATCCCGACAATTCGGGCGCCATATAACTCCATCGCTTTGTGTGGTTCAATGCGTCTTCCCACCAACGGTGACAAACCGTCCAAAACAACCTCATACAGGCCCGCACTTCTCTTAGAGGAACCCCCTCTCCCCGCGTTGTGCTCACCTAGGACCAGCTCCCCCGTATCTCTAGACATCAGGCTCACCTTGCCGTCGTGATAGAGCTTCAAGACCGCCTCAGGAGACGAATACACATGCAGAATATCATACGCTTGTAATTCTAGAGACGGTGTTGGTTTCAAAGTAGAGCCCATTCTTTCTATCTCAACTATATCTTCCCTTTTTTCAACAATCTCTTCGATTCCCGACTCCTCGAGAGTGACCCCATCTAATGCCAACGCCGTCACCTGAGCCGACACGACAAACTTTTTGCTCAGACGAGCGCTGGAAGTCGGCAATAGAGGAGCTTCCAAGTCGCCACCAGCGGGGTCATCCTTCCCCGACGACTCCGCATACTCTCGAAAGACAATGGGTACCGCGATGATGATGTAAATGACCGCAGCCACAGTCGCTGGCAGCACTATCGGTGCCATTGCGAACATCTTCAAGGGGGGTAGCCCATTCTGCACCAACAAGCCTTGGGTGATCAAATTACTCGATGTTGAGAAGACCGCGAAGACGCCGGAGATGAGCAGAATATACGATAGTGGCATCAATAGGAGCGCCTGGTTGATGAGGATGTCTTTTTCACACCAACGTTTTACCACGGGTAACAACACCCCCATCACAGCCGTGTTAGAAACGCCCACATTTAGCATAATCGCCGGAATGAACAGTCTAAGGATTGCCATAGCAAGGGAGTTTGGTTTGCCCAGTATTCCCCCCTGGATAAATAGGTATTCAACTACGCCCGTCCTTTTCACTGCAGCTGATACTATCAACAATATCGCCACCGACAAGACGACCTCGTTAGAGAAGCCCTGCCATGCGATGGTGTTATCAAGAACACCAGTAAGACACAATACGAGTGTAGATGCAGTCATAACAGCATCGGGAGGGTACTGCCTCACAAGCAGTGATAATGCTAGTACTGTTACCACAATAGAAATATAAGATTTGTAGTTCAGTTTTGGGTACCCCAGTTCATAACAATTCATGATGTACCCGAAAAGGATAGTAGTAGCGTAAAACAACAAGTGCGGCCATTGACATCGGATGAATTTTCCTGTTTTTTGCACGACCATCCATACCACACCATCGTCACTTCCTCCCTGCTCCTCCCGCATAGATGCGTGCCGCGACAGGAACTGGCCTACGTCTCGTTGACTTCTGCCCTCACCAATCTTCCTCGTCACACCACTCACCTCGACCTTTAATGCATCGTCATCTGCTGGAGATATACCATAAACCTTGCGGATCTCCTTCAGTCTAGTGGTGGCGTTGTGGAAGTCACATGCCTTCATCTCGAGGAGGATGTCGTCCATCAACGAAGTCGGCGGCTCATCGTCGGAAGCCTTGGGGTGTTCGCGACAATTCTGGACCATCTTGTCGTATTTCTTAGCAATCCTAGTAAGACCCTCTTCGTTTAGGCATGCGTAAGCTTCTAGTTGTCTCATATCGTCAACAACTTGTTTTGCATCTTCTTTGCTGTCCACTTTATCAATAATCAGTGTTTCTTGAACAGAATAGAAAGTCGCCACTCGAATGATATCCAATTTCAACTCCTCGATGAACCTAGTGTTGTCCTTAACATTGCTGTTTTCCATCTCCTCCACAATTCCCTTCAGTCGGCTGTAGTTCATATAGTAGCCGCGCCACTCGGGTTTGCGTCGGTCTAAGAGGTATTGGCCGAATCGCATCGAATCATCGAAGAGAGAAAACGAACTGATAGAAGTAGAAAATTCAAACTCATGAGGTCGTCGAGTGGAAATCTAAACCCACACCAGTCTCGTATGTCTCTCTCTGTACGGGCGAGCTGAAAAATAACAGGAAAATGGCTCGGCCGGGAATCGAACCTGAGTCGTCTCTATGAAGGATCAGAATTTGTCTTCGTCGTCGTCATGCGAAACACCAGTGCGATACAACGAAATAACCAAAACCTTTTCCCCAATAACGAGAAGCTCTTTTCTAAGAAAATTGATACCCTGTTCGCCCAACAACTCAATACCGCTGAACGGGACAGTTATCAACAACATTGCTGAAAATGGTGATACTAAATGTCATCAACAGTAACGATGACTGTAGTTTATCGTTGAAGTCGTTTCCGTGATGTTCCCATTCCAAGTCGTTGTTAACTACTTTTTACTCAACACACTTTAACATTGACACTGTTGTTGATGGAGGCAATGCTATGATTACACTTGATCATGTGTTGGTCTACTCGAGTGCTACAACTTCCTTTCCATCGTTGATATGGCCTGGATTTGGCTTTTTGTCAGCTGCCCTAAAAACGCAAAAAAACGAAAAAAACGCAAAAAACGGGAAAAAACGCAAAAAACGGAAAAAAACGCAAAAAACGGAAAAACGCAAACAAGACTAGAAAACGCAGAAAACGCAATAAAAACCAAAAAGCCCAAAAAATAGCGAAAATTTTCCGGAAAAAAATCACCTGATTGTAATCTTAGCAGTCGATAGTCTTCTTTGAGAGTAGCGATTCTCTTATTGTTGTTCTCTACTTCTTCCTCAACGATACTCAGGAAACTTTCCGCTGTGAAAGATTTTCAAATAATTACGGAAAACAAGGAAAAAAATCACCTTTTTTTATCAAATCTTCGAGATTTTTTTCTTCCTCCTCCTCCTCCTCGTCACCGGCCTTGTGAATTTGACTTTCATTCGTGTTAGCTCCTTCTGGGACTGTCATCGTGAAAAGCAAACACTCGGGCCGGTCAAAGCATTGACAACACCAGATTAACCATAGACAATACATCACAAATTTTCATTCTAATCCATGCCATTGAGAGCATCACCATCATCAACTGTCGTGTTAGAGTCCGTAACAGCTCCTTCTCGTGTGAAAATATTATCGTCCCATAGAGACGTAGATTGTGCAATAGCCGTAGTCGTTGCTGCTGATGCCTCACTGTTAGCCCCGTCATTATCACTTCTCTCTGTTGATTGGTTATTCCCTGCAGTACTGCAAGAGGTACTCATTGTAGAATCAGCATCATCATCATCATCATCATCATTGTTGTTGTTATCATCACGATTGACGTTATCAGGAGTAGGCGGGTTTGGTACTGGCAGAGCAGGACCTTCTTCTGGTCTGCCTACTATTTCCCTGTTATGCTGGGCCCACCTGATTGAAGTACTCCTACTACTACTACTACTACTACTACTACTACTACTACTACTACTACTACTACTACTACTACTACTACTACTACTACTACTGCTACTACTACTACTACTACTACTACTACTACTACTACTACTACTACTACTACTGCTACTACTACTACTACTACTACTACTACTACTACTACTACTACTACTACTACTACTACTACTACTACTACTACTACTACTACTACTACTACTGCTACTACTACTACTACTACTACTACTACCTCTCTCGCCTCCTTTCAATGGTATCCACAGGATCATCCTCAGGATTAGGATATCTATCATCATTAGACCGCATGAGCCTTCCCTCTCTAAACTCCTCTCGAGCCCTTCTTATCATCCGATCAAAGTTCCTCATATTTCTTCTACGTTCTTCCTCCTTTTCCTGCCGTATCAACTTTCTCTCCTCCCTTTCCGTTTCGATGCCACCACGATAGAAAAATGCCTCTGCCAATCTGCGTTCATCGGCAAATATCGGACGGTCATCGAGATATCTAAACGGCGAAAATTCTAATTTTCCGAAGTAGTTTTTTTGTGAAGTAGTGTTACTATCATCATCACATGCCGAATAGTTGTTTTCGATCGAAATTAATATTGCCACGGAAAATATGAACATTTTTCAACGAAGCGGCAATTCTTACTTCAACCCTGGCATCTTGGCAACGAGTGTTTTCCTATAGTTTGGTATTTTTTTCACGACTGGATTCCCTTTCAAGTAGAGCACTCTAAGCCCTCTCATTTTCACGAAAACTTCATCGATCTGATAACAACGAAAATAATCAATCACTAAATATGATCAACACTACGACAGCGGGGTCTTCAATCTTATTGTTGGTTAAGTCAACTACGGCTACTCCCTCTCCATCATCGGTCGTATTCAGGGGTCCATCGTTCTGGTCAGTTGCCTCGATCAACGATATGATGTCACCGACGCCACCCATACCGATCTGGTTGTTGGCGAGATTGAGAGTATTTAGTTTCCGTAGATGCCCTGAAATTAGTCTTATCCAGAATCATCACTATTTTGTATTACGTATGTTCTCTATTTTCTTAATAAAATTGTCAGGCAAACTCAATGTCCATAGTTGTGCATTGTTATCGAGATTTTCGATTTTCTCAATGCAGTTTTGGCCGAGAAACCTGCCAGGATCTGCTTCTTTGTGGAAGTTCATCAGCACCGATATTACAAACTCCTCAGTGCCGTCAGATGCTCCAGCCCTTCTATTTTGGAAAAACCTGGGGGGAAAATTTTTGGTATTTTTTTCATCATCTTTTACCGTTGCATTCAGCGTAAAGAACCTTGAGACCTGTGAATTCGTCGAGATTTTCCAATTTACGATAACCACCATAATGTATATACAATTTGTCATTCAACTCTTTCGTACGGTAGTACCTACATTATCATCAACAACAGCAAATCCACCCCAGTGGTTTTCTTTACATGTTTTTATCTGCGTCTAAAATTCCTTTTAAAACGTCCTCTGTCAATCGCCTGTGAACGATTATTGATACTTACGTGTGTGTGATAATGCTCACCTTCCAGTAAGTCGACTTTCCTCATTATCGTTATCTCTACGAACGGTCATTTCTGATGATGGTCGTGAGTGCGGTGGTGTTGATTATACTTTGCCGTTGAGGAAATGCAAGAAGAAGCAAGAACGGCGAGATTCAGATGCTGGGAGTAAACGGGCGTGTCCAAACACTGTCACTAAACTTTGTCTCCTAAATCACTAAATCTCAGCGCGCGCCCTCGTAGTCGATATAAAGCGCGACTTCGTTTCAACGGCGTTAGAGGCCGAAGAGAAACACGTGAAGTTCACGTTCAACCAAAAACCGGAGGGAAACAAGTGAACCAAAAACCGGAGGGAAATAGATGAACCAAAAACCCGAAGGGAAGCAACTTGCTTGAAGCAAGTTAACGAAGAGGGTTCAGCGGGCCAGGCGGATCTGTCTCAAGTCCATGTCTCACTGGGAAAACTCGACACTCGTTTTGTGAGCTACATTTTGATTTATCTTCCAAGTTTTTTGAGCTGCGAAAGCCAACACTTTATCATTCACCATGCACTGCATGCAGATCACTATACTTCGAACAGTATGACTCAGCGAAGATCACTTATTAATGATGCTGATGGGCTTCTCGAGCTTCGGTCGACCACAGGAGTGGTGGAATGTTTGATGTACTTGCACTTGATTGCTCAACTTGGGGACTTGTCAGCGAAACTTTTGACCAGAATTATTGAGTGGAAAGTGAATTCATCGATGCATTACGAGTTGAGTTGTTGGTTTTGCGGGCTGACAGAAATGTAATCGGTCCTAAGCCTCTGATTATTAGATGATAAAAGTTTCTTGGCATCCACGGCAATGCATTTTTCCGGCGAAAGAAGCACGGTTGCCATGCCACGGTAGGTAAAGGGAAGACTGAGTACCGATGCGATGCGGCGTGCGCTAGAGTCACTCAACTAGTGTGACGACTTATGGGATTTACAACTTAGCAGCAAATTTGGAAATTACCGGAAATATTTAGTTATGTACAACCCTCGTGTATCAGCTCCTGCAGCATCATCATCAACACAAACTATCTCTGGCTGTCTCGGACGAAGAGGCATGTCAGAAGACGCGGTGTTCGTCGTGGCGGTGCCGACACTGGTGACGATAATATGTTTCAGAGGATTCTTAATTTATGTTTATGAACCCTTTTGCTCTGTGAAACTATGTTTCACTATCGTGTTCCAAAAGGTTTTCGAGTAGCTAGACCTTCAATGTTGAGTTAAACTAGTGTGGGTGGTTCGCGAAACGCGCGTGGTTCGGTGAGTTGGTGCGGCGCTTTGGTGAGCCGGAGCAACCTTACGCTCCTTACGCTATTTCGTTAAGGACCTTAAGGAGCGGCTCCTAAGTGTTATAAGGTGCAGCTCCTTAGCCTCGTTCCTGAAGGATCTTACGTAAGATCCTTAGCCTCCTAATTTCAAGGAATCCTTACGCTCCTTAGCCTCCTAAGTTATAAGGAGGCGCTCCTTCCTTGAGGATCTTACGCTCCTTCCTTAAGGAAGGCCTCTTGAGTTACAGGCCCAGTGTATATACCTTCAATGTCCGAGGCTTCGTATTGTAATGCTCGACTGCTGGACCTGTAACTGAGCTGAGATGCTCAATAGTGCTAATGATGGATGGAGTATTGTTGTATTATTGTTAACCAGAGTATCCATCGGTGAAGTAGATGAGGACATCGATGCAAGAATAGACCTATCGACTGTTATGACCGCTCAAAATGTAATAACAACAACCCTTTCCCTTCTCACTGTCATCACATATGCAGATCCTTCACTGACATTACTCAATATCAATACTGAAGAGGAATCCTCCATAACTGCCTTTTTCTGAATACACCCATGTTCGTGTTGAATCAATACTGTTGATGTCGCCAACCCCATTCCCCCTGTTGAAATTGAACACAAGAATAATAACTGTTGTGAAGCCGATCTTCTGACGACGACCCGATGTTATAACCATCAATGCAAGAGCTGATCCATCATCATCATTGTTGTTGTTGATGCTGATTACTCCTGAGCGGTCTCCTCAACGGCAGCCTGGGCCTCCTCCTCTTCCTCAACGGCGGGCTTGGCGGCCTTGGCAGCTTGCACGGCAACAGTGTCGAGAGTCTGGCGACCGAGAGAGGTGATCATGCGACCACCCTTCATGGCGTCACTTTGGGCGATGAAACCCATCTTCTCCAACTGCTGGAGCAAGAACCTGTTAAAGAGGTCGTTTCTTGATTATTCACGATGACGATGAT